GGAAGGAAGGAAGGAAGGAAGGAAGGAAGGAAGGAAGGAAGGAAGGAGAAAGGTAGGTAGAAAGGAAGGAAGGAAGGGAGAAAGGAAGGAAGGAGAATGGTACATAAGTAGATAGGTAGGTTGGAAGGAAGGAAGGAAAAAGATAGGGAGGAAGGGAGGAGACAGATAGGTAGGAAAGAAGGAGGGAAGAAGGAAGGAGGGAAGAAGGAAGGAAGGAGGGAAAGAGAAAGATACAAAGAAAGGAAGGAGAAAGGTAGGTAGGTAGGTAGGAAGGAGGGAAAGAGAAAAATGGATGAATAGGAGGGAAGGAAGGAAGGGGGAGACGAAGGAAGGAAGGAGAAAGGTAGATAGAAAGGAAGGAAAGAAGGAGAAAACGGAAGGGAGAAAGGTCAGTAGGAAGAAAGGAAGGAGAATGGTAGATAAGCAAGTAGGTAGGTAGGTTGGAAGGAAGGAAGGAAGGAAATAGGGAGGGAGGAAGGGAGGAGAAGGGAGGGTGGGAGGGAGAAAGGAAGGAGGAAGATAAGAAGGAAGGAAGGAAGGAAGGGAGGAAGGAAGGAAGGAAGGAAGGAAGGAAGGAAGGAAGGAAGGAAGGAAGGAAGGAGGGAAGGAGGGAAGGAGGGAAGGAGGGAAGGAAGGAGAAAGGTAGGTAGGTAGGAAGGAGGGAAAGAGAAGGATGGACGGATGGAAGGAAGGAAGAAAACCTCAACCAGGGCTGGTGAAACAGACCTCCCTTGAGAGATCCAGGTGTCTGCAGGTGCCCTCACCCCTCCCAGCTCTGCATGTGGTCACATTCACACGTTTCTTTGTTTTTTTTAACCCTTGGCCAAGTGGGACCGTCCCTGCCTTTGCCTCGCCCCTCCTGGATTGCTTCCAGACCTGACCGAAGGCAAAAAAGAAGGCAGAGACTGGGCCGGCTCGGTGCCCCCAACAGCCATCTCTCCAGAAAGCCTTCGGAGACACACACACACACACAGAGGTGGGTGGTCCAAGAAGACGGAGCTGCAGCCCCCGCCTTCTCGAAAGGGACGGAGGTCTCCCCCTCCCCGCTTCGGGCTGGCCCCCGCCCAGAGTTACCTTCATGCTACACGCCAACTCCATCAGTTTCTTGGCGTTCTCCTCCGAGCGATACCTCTTGGGCAGCTGCACTCGGAAGAATTTCAAAGCCCCCTCGAAGTCCGTCAGCAGCAAGTCCTCCCTGGTGGTCTAGGAACAGGCGGGGGGAGAAGAGGAGGAATCACCAGTTGCCCTGCCTCGAAACCAGGACGGACATGTTCCCCCGAAAATAAGACCCATCCCTATGTACCAGTCAGGGTAGGCAAAAAATGCCAATCCTAGGTGTTTCTCTGAGCTAATCTTGTCAGCTTTGGCTTCCCTATTTGTGCTGCTTATTGGGAGTCTCTTTGCTTATGAATACCACGTTTCCCCGAAAATAAGACCCTGTCTTATATTTTATATACATGAATCTATCTACCTCTATCTCTCTCTCCTCTATCAATTCTATCTAATCTGTCTATCTATCTATCTATCTATCTATCTCATTTATCTATCATCTATATCTATCATCTATCTATATTATCTATCTATCATCTATCTATATATATATATATCACATCTATCTATATCATTTATCTATCATCTATATCTATTATCTATCTATCTATCTATCTATCTATCTATCTATCTATCTATATATATCATCTATCTATATCATTTATCTATCATCTATATCTATAATCTATCTATCTATATTATCTATCTATCTATCTATCTATCTATCTATCTATCTATCTATCTATCTATCTATATCTATCATCTGTATCTATCATCTATCTATATCATCTACCTACCTACCAACCTATCATCTATCTATATCATTTATCTATCTATATCTATCATCTATCTATATCATCTACCTACCTACCTCCACATAAAAAGGCGCCAGGTCTTATTTTGGGGGGAAGTCCTCCATTGACTAACCTCACTTGCGCACGTCGCCCCCGGCCTCTTTTTCTCTGTCAGAGGCCTCCAGGAACTTCTTCTTCTGCAGCCAGCAAGGCTTTCCTGAAGGCCTCTGCAGCCAACAACAGAGCTTTGGATCGATCCAGAGCTTTGTTCTCAGCTACAGAGGCCTGGGGCTGGCAAGGCAGGTGTCCGGATGTGTGAGGCCGAGCTACAACTGTTCAAAAGTAAGTAGTAGGGCAGCTCCATCCTCCACAACCCCACTCTAGCCTGCGCAGAGCTACCAGGAGAAGGGAACCGTTAAGGAATAGGGGTTGACTCGGGAGTAAGAGCATAGGTGGACAGTGAATGGCCCCTCCCATAGGGAATAAAGAGGAGCAAGAGGGGAGTGGGGTTTGCAGGAGACCACTAGTTCGTTTAATTAGTGTGAAGATCTGTTCCTGAGTTCTTGCCAAGTATTGTCTGCTACAGCGTGGCATTTGGAAGCTATCGGCCTGGCAACTCTCCAAGCCTGATCAAGGTCTGTCCTTGTCAATCACTCTTGAAAGACTGTTTCCCCGGGACTTGGCTGGGTGTGAATGAGAGGAATTCACTTTAGCCTAAATAAAAGGGGTTTTTGTCGGGACGAGGAGTCTGCTTCGTGATTTTGGTGAGGCCTGGGTCAGAACAGGAGGAAGAAGGGAGACGCTTTGGCTTCTCCCCGGCCTTTTCTCTGCGGAGGACAAAACTCTGGCACAAAATCTGTGAGCCGATTCAGTGTGTGAGAACCTCAGCCTTTCTCAGTCTCCTCAACCCATTTCCCTGATTCAGTTTGGGACTCCCAATTCTTTCCTGCGACCCTGCAGGTTGAGAAGGACCCAGAGCAAAAGGAAAGAAGATCCCAGGAATATCAACAAGCCCATGCTTCCCAACCCACCTCCTTTCTTGCTAGTTCCTTGGACTTGACACTGAAAGGATTCCAATCCCCAAGAAATTCAAATCCCAGCTATCTTAGTTCTGCCGGCCTCATGGCGGCAGAGCCTGGCAGGGATGGTGCGCGACTTGGCCCAGAAAAGTAAATACTCACTTTTAATAATCCAAGGGCGACGTTAAAAATAACACTGATGCCCTGTAAAAGAAAAGAGAAGGAGGAAAAAAACCTAAATATCCACAGGTTTAACAGAATAATAGCACTGAAAGGGACCTTGTAGGTCATCTAGTCCAACCCCCCAGCCAAGCAGGAGACCCTACACCATTTCTGACAGATGGCAATCCAGCCTCTTCTTGAAAGCCTCCAGGGATGAAGCTCCCACAACTTCCGAAGGCAACGTCTGTTCCATTGGTTGGTTGCTCTCACGGTCAGAAAATTCCTCCTTATTTCTAGGTTGAATCTCTCCTTGGTCAGTTTTTTAAAATTTGTATTTATTTATATTTTATTTACACACACACACACACACACAGTCTCTCTATAGATGATAGATATATATAGTTAGATAAATAAATTACTTTAAATAGATAGATTAATCTATCATCTATCTACTGCATCTATTGTATCTGACTATCAATTTATTTATATCTATATATCAATATCTATCTTATTTCTATCTCTATCTTATATCTATCTATCTATCTATCTATCTATCTATCTATCTATCTATCTATCTATCTATATTTCGATATCTATATCTATCTTATTTCTATATCTATCTATCTATCTATCTATCTATCTATCTATCTATCTATCTATCTATCTATCTATCTATCTATCTATCCATCCATCCATCCATCTATCTTATTTCTCTCTCTCTCTCTCTCTCTCTCTCCCTCTCCCTCCCTCCCTCCCTCCCTCCATCTACCTACCTAAATGTAAATATATGAATTTTATCGGAGCCGGCGCCAGCTTTGGCAGAGTTTGGGTGGGTAGGCAAACCGCGGCACACGTACCTCGCACAGCAACAGGTCGATGATGTGGAAGACCATGTAGAGGGGGAACTTGGCGGTGAAAAGGGTGAGGAACCACTGGGAGGCATACATGTGAGCTTCTAAGTTGATATCTAGGAAGTGGCTGTAGAGGTCGGGGCTGTACTCCTGGAAGAGAAACGGGGAGGAAACGGAGAGGCTGACCCCCGTTCGTCTGAGTGCTCGGAGAGATACTGAAATTCAGGAAGTCCCTGAATTACGACCTCGACGGAGCCCATCATTTCTGTTGCTAAGTGAAACATTTAAGCGGCTTTGCCCCGTGTGATGACCTCCCTTGCCACGGTTGTTCAGTGAGTCGCTGCCGTTGTTAAATGGTTGCTGAGGGAATCTGGCTTCCCCGTTGTCCGGTGGACCCTGCGACCGTCGTAAATAGGAGTCAGGTGCCAAATTTGGATCCCACTGCTGCAACGGTCCTGCCGTTGTTAACGCTGAACGGTCACTAAACGAAGGACTACCTGTAACGTCATTATCCCAACCCCACCGTTTGTGTTTTACACGAACGTTTCGGCAGCAAACGGGATCCTTGATTCACAAATATGCTTCACGGGGGTTTGTTCTGCACAGAATATGCCTAAATTATCCCTTTTTATCTTTGCACTATCTCCAGCAAAGCTTAGACAACTTCATTATCACTTTGAGCGTACACTCAACGGCATACGTTAAAATGAAATTTTGTTGCAGTCAGCTCTCCAAGGGTCACCCTATCCAATACACCCGCGTGAACGTGACAAGACAAGTACAAAATTTTGTATATACACACACATACATTCTATGACACAGAAAAACAACAACAGCACAGTCTAATTTGGATGTATACATGTACACGGCGAGAGAAGTGAATCTGGTGTTCCGACCCAACCGGGTTCCCAAAGAGCCAACCCAGACAAAGGCAGCAGCCCCCACCTTTTAAGGTTTAATAACCAATTCTGTTCTGGAAGCTGCTTTCCAGTAATTAGCTCCGGCATGAAAGAGCCTTGCCAAGTTGTTTGTCAAGGCTGCCAAAAACCCAGAGATAAGAATGAATTCACAAGATTTTCCAAACACGAACTGAGGTGTCCACCAGTTGAGTTTCAGAGCCCCTTTGCTGTCTGCAAAGAACGCGTTTTCCAAACCTGGCTTTTACCCTCTTGAAGGAGGGAGGGGCCATTACCTTGCAGCCTTACTCCTGAGTCACCTGTGCTGCTGTAATTGTTCTTTCCTCCGAGTAATCCTTCGTGCACGTGCACTTGGCACAGGCTCCTCGGGAACCTCCTCATCGCTGCTGCCAGCCCAGACCCATCCCTGAAGGCAGCAGTCCACTCCCTGATGGTCCTGGCCCCTCATCAGAGTCCTCGCTCTCCTCAGCCATCTGCACCTGCTGGCGGCTAACTGTAACAATCTGGTAGTCCTGCTAGAAATACTTCAAAACCTCCTCCCAGGGGGGAGCAACAGAAACAGGCCCTAAAATGGGTGGGTGGG